ATATATATATATATATATATATATATATATATATATATATATATATGGATGTATGTATAAGTACCAGCTGGGTGCCTCTTGAACTGGACTTGTGTCAAGCAATGTTGGGAATAAGAATTTTTGTTCACTATGTTCCCTCTAAGTATCATTATATTGTGTGGAGGGCGATGGTGTGCTGATATTGTGGCTGTTGTGTAAAATCGCCATTATTCAGTCAAGTAATGACGTTCTGCCTGGTATTTAATGCTTCCCCATGACTGATGCCTGCACAGGCAGCAGAGACGGCTGAAAGTGAAAGAGGTGACCTCTTTCTCTGCAGTCTTAAGAGCTGCTTGTGTGTCTGCTTTTAGCCCCATTATAACAGTGTGTGTGTGTGTGTGTGTGGGCTGCAGGAAGTCATTATACTGTATCAGCATTTTATTAATTCATTCCTACCAATTGCGAATGAGCTTTTTTTCCCCCCCTAAATTTGTTACCTATTTAAACTTGATTTAGGTGTTTGATTTTCTGCCTTATGCTCAGGCAAAAAAAAAAAAAAGACTGATTAAAACAATTCAGGTTTTTAATTTAGCTTAGAAGGATTTTTTATTTCCCAGGGGGAAAAAAACAAAATGGCAATCAAAAATTACCAACACTAAACAAGTAAAATTGCTGGATGGTTTTGTGTTTTAATTTGTAATTGACTCATATGAAATATGCAAGTGAGATATTTTAAGTAAGGGGTGTAGAAGTGCTGGACTCCTGTTTGTTCTGTTCGGTGATCAAACTAAAGCCTGTTTTGAAATGCCTCCCACTGTAATAGTGGGAAATGCTCTAAAGTTCCAGTTAACTGAATCCAGAAATAAATTATAACTATATACTTTTTAATTTTATTTTTTTTTTTTAAGTCTTATTAAACTGTTGTTTGATAATTCTTGATTTTGAGGCTAACCTATTAGAGTTGATTGTGGTTATGTTACTATTAAGGACTGCTGTCTTTTTCTTCCCATTTTAAAAGAAAGTTCTTATTGTTTTCATTGTGATTATTAGTGATCACTTATTTATATTTCTTTTTATTTCTTTGCAGATCAAACGGGTCATTTTTTGTGTCTTCCTTGATACTGATTTTGCCATTTACAAGAAGAAAATGGCCATCATCTTTCCAGGTATGGATATGTACTTCCCAACTTATACATCTTTATCATTTCATCAAATCTTGAGGCATAGAATTGCAATGATATCTGCACTGAAAGCTATCAAATCAAATACCAGGTTTTTAATGTTCTTCAAATGTGATTAGAATAGTGAATTTCTTTTTCAAAGTATCTGTAAGTTAGTCTTCTCTTCACTTTCTAATACCTGAGGGAGACGTAAAAAGCAGATTCCTTTTAGTGTAATAATTACTGGAATTCCTCTCCCAAGAGCTGAAGACATCCGTGGATGCATATGCATAGCAACATATCATCCCTGGTTACTGCACCACAGTTCTACATGTGGAGTAAACAAACATCCATTATCTCTTACTCCCACTCTCTTTTCTGTCCCTCTCTCGATTCACTCTCCCCCTTTGATGCCATCATCTTTTTACTGGGACAGGGAGCAGTCACCAGCTCTGATGGGGGGCTCCACAGAGGACTGAGCTGAATAGCTGGGGAGCTGAAAGAGGCTGGCTGGCTCCACCAGCCTAGCATTACCTCCCATTTACCTCACTTTTCCCTCTTCACCTCCCCAGCGGAATACCGGCTCTCAGGCCTTCATCTGGCGGTTCCCAGATGGAGAGTGTTTTGTTCTCCCTGCTCTCCCGTCATCTCCCCCATCCCTCCGCCCAGGCTCTTGCCTGAAAGATTACATTCTGAGGAGAGACCTTAATTATGCCTGCCTGCCCTCCTGCACCCAGCACCCGTCTCATCATATTAGTGTTTTGAGATGAGAATCTGGTGGTGTTGTTCTCCAGTTATCTCTCTAGCCATTTAAAAGTGTAGTCAGGGAATAAATGCTCTGTGTCTCTCTGTAACGGGAGACGGGGATAAAATAAAATGACAGGCTCCAATTGTGTATTCCAATCAGAATATATTTTAATATACTGGTAAATCCATCAAAACATGGGGCTATTAAATGGGAGTTAGCAATTTCCATGTCCTGCAGACGTTTTCATATCGCTTAAACTTCTTCACACTATGTCAACCAAAGTGTCCTTGTATTTGCTGGCTCAGGCATAAAGATGAAGGCGAAGCAAAGGGTTTTATGGTTTTCAAACTTTTTTTACGAGCATAAATATAGCAATTATGAACTTAATTTTTAATGCAACATGTGTTCATTGAGATGACTTTTGCCCATTCTGCAAAACAGCACCAGCTCAGTCTGAGTGGATTGAGATTTACCACACATCTTGATTGGACATAGACCTGTGTTATCATTAAGCCATGCTAACACATGTTTATACTTTGATATTTTGCATATATGTGGAGAGCTGGATGTTTTCATCATCGAATGGCCATAAAGGTCGCATGTTCAAAACTCACACTGTCATTCTTGGTCCCTGAGCAAGAGCCTTTATCCCAGATTGCTACCTAAATTTCTTTTTTCTTGCAATTTAACAAGAACACACAGTCCCGCCATGTTTCCTGCACGACTTGTGTCTAGCTTTCATGGTGGATTCATGATAGGGATGCACTTCAGTAATGCTTTTCTTCCAAAAATAATAAAATTAACAGATAACAGATTCTTGCATCTTAGCTGCAGATCTCTGCGGCTCCTTTAGAGTTACTATGGTCCTCTGGCAGAGCTTCACTGATCAATTCTTACCCTTCTCAAAATGTCTGTTTTTTTATGGCAGTTACTTAGTTGGTTTGCAGTTGTGCGATACTCTCTTACTTTAAAATGATAGATTAAAAATCGTTGACACATTCAAAGTTGGGATATTGTTTTATTACCCTATATCACCACCCTTTACTTGTACTCCTACTGTTGTGTTTGTTGACCTGAACGATGAGGTTTGTTCACTAATGTTGCGTAACAAACTTCTGACAAACAGTTGTGTTCTACTGGCTTTACTTACCGATGCAACTTTCCCCAGCAGTCATTTGGTTAGTGATTTAAAATGACTGCTAAAAGCAATTAGCTGCACTGAGGTAGAATTTGAGGTGTCGGAGCAAAGGTTAGATTTTATTTACACTTAAAGATAAGTGCATCTATTTGTGTTCAAATTCAATTCAGGGGGAGTGGTGGCCTAGTGGTTAGGGCATAGAGCTTGGAATCCTGAGGTTCTGGGTTCGAGCCCCACTCTCACAGACCACTCTGGCCCTCTAAGCAATACACTTAACCCCACACTGCTCCCCAGGCGCCACACAATGGCAGCCCACTGCGTCCCAAGGGGATGGGTTAAATGCAGAGGTAAATTTCACCAATGTGAGATCAATAAAGTTCTATTATTATTACATTTAAAAATACTTTATCAAACTTAAATGGAATTTGATTATATGTACTTGTATTTCATAAAACTACATAAATAAAAATAAGATCGAGGATGTAACAGAAACAAATGTGGAAAAGCTTGAGAAGTATTACAACTTTTGCTCAGTAAATTGGAAAAAAAAAAAAAAAAACGTCAGATATTTATTTAGTATCTGTGGCGAATACGACATGCTTCGCCAATCACCTGTTCTTCAACCCCTGCGATCTGGGCCATGCTCATCTCTGCTTTGCAAACATGTGCGGGCAGAAGAGAATAAGTAAGTGTGACTTTTCCACTTTGGATCAATGTCAGGGTTGAGCCAGACATTTTTTACTCCACTCTCACCTACACCTGTTCAGATCTCTCACCTGATGTGCAAGATCAAAGCATTAACACATCATCAATGAAAACTTAAGCACTTTTAACTTATTCAGTCAGGGAGAACAGAGACATGAAATTACATATCTTGTGAATGTAGAATATATCCTGATGGAAGGGGATTGAATTCATATGGCCAATCCAGCCAGGCTTGTCTCAGAGGTTGCAGAAAGGTTTGCTGTAAAGAAAGAAATGCTGATTGGTATGATTGCACCATGAAGCTAATGCAAAACCCCGTAGGGTGAAAAGACTTGCATTTAGTCTGTGCAGAAAGGTAGTAGTGAATCAGAGGCTGTGAATTAGCTCTGCAGGTGTGCTAGAGCACTTTCAGAACATCTCATCATCCTCACTGCCAGGGGAAGACAGTGGCGTGGATCCTGCAGCAGCACTGAAAGCCACACACAGAGGCTTAAGATCATTCTGTCTCCTCCAGCATGCTTGCTCACAATAACCCTCCCTTAAATCGACCTGCTTTTTTTTCTTCTCCTCTCCCTACTTACTCTTACTTACGGCTCTGCTTGTTCACTTGCCCATTACCTTATTCCCTCGCTTTCTATCATTCTTTCCTACTACATCAAGGAAGGGCTTCTCTATAGCCTCTTCTATCATCAAGTCACAGTAGAGGTGCAATGATTGGTGCTGTTTTGCTTTGCGCTCTTTTCATAGTTAGTGTGGGTGTGTGTGTGTGTGTGTGTGCAGGGGGTTAGGGGGTCATGTTAAAAGTCCGGATCTTCCCCCTTCTCATCAGTTTAAGGAATGCTTGTGCAAAAAGAAGACAGAATAGATTTTTATTTTGAAGTCTTGCTACTGCCGTTTTTCATTGTATAGCTGCTCTCCTTGTATTCAAGCAATCTGTCAAGTGACAATGACTGGAGCAAGAATGTGTAAACAGGACATTTGCATACAGGAAATTGCTTTATTACAATGTGAATCTCCACAAGCTGTCAGTGAGAGGGAGCGAAAATATGGTTACTTGTCTGCAGAAGGAGGAAACTGAAAAATAGCCTCTGCTGACAATAATAATCGTGCACACCAGCCAAGGCGTACACTGGAATCAGGTAGTTAGACCATGTAGAGTATTGAATTTCCCACTACTGACATGCTAACAAATGATTTCACATTCTGCTTTGCACTGGTATGTTGTTTGTGTTCATGCAGGGTTGTTTAATGAGTACTGATACAAGCAGACAAAGGTCTCTCATGTATTAACAGCCCAAGGAGCACTTTGTGGATTCAGACTCAAGAGTCCTCTCAAGCACGCAAAGACTGAAATATACAAATACACAAAAAGGCTTGTGCACATAAGGGCTATCTGTTACCTGCGTAGCACAATCACTTTCTATTAGCCAGCACAGTAACGTGGTTTGGAAGCACTGATTTAATGACCCATTAATTATGTTATGTATTCCTGTCCTGTTAAAAGAAAAACCTGCTTGAAATGTAACCAAACAATACGCCATGGTTGTGTTTATTAAGAAGGAACATACATTTGCATTGCATTGCGAGCAGTTCTCTACACTTTGTAACGCTGCATGAGGTTATCTTCCTGTGATTGTATGTGACTGACTAATGCTAAGAAGCACATAACTGTTTTAGAAGTTAAAGGGAACATATATTTTGTAAATACAAATCAGAAAAAATGTTTCCTAGGTTTTAATTTCTTTTTCATGATTATCCAGAACCCCATTTCACTGCAATTATTTTAATTAGGGCCACAAAATCGAACAAGCTCAATCAGACTGGACGGAGAAGACTTTTCAACTGTTGTGTTTCGCTACAGTTTCTCAGTCGAGTTTAGGTCTACACTTTGAATAGAAATTTCCCACACATGAATATCATTTGGTCCTAATCAAACAGCTTGTATGTTTATGGCTTTTGTCTTGGACAATGATTCTTGCCCCAGCCGCAAATAACTTGCAGACTATATTTAATCTGTTCTAGTTTGGTTCAACATTTAGCTTCATGGTTCTTCCTGTCACCTCTGACTGGCTTATCTGTCTGATTAAGAGTTCCCACCTGCTTTGATACTTCCACAAACATGTGTCACCATGACGATGGTGTGAGAGTTTTCATCTCTGCCAAAAATGTAATCTCTTTAAACAGAGAACCTACTCAATCTTATTGCTACAAAAAAACAAAGCAAAGTAAAAAAATAAAATCAAAATAACAGGTCTTCCTGTTGTCGATCTAACAGCCAGATTTCTGACAACAGGTTCTTGAAACTTGATCTTTCTTCCACCACACTTTGCCAAGAGTTGACATGATCCTCTTGACTACCTCTCTGATACTGCTCTTCTGGACTGAACTGCAGGATTATGTGAACAAGCATGTTTT